TGCTTCAGTCTATGCTCCTGACACAAGGCAATCATGGCCTTGTTGTCGACGTACAGAATCGGAGGAGAACAAGGCCGCTCTCCCAAGTCGAAAAGTAGGTAGGTCAGCCAGCGTAACTCCTGTTCAGCCACGGCCCCCGCGTAAATCTCAGCCTCACAACTAGACCTCCAGGAAACTGAACCGGAGCCAAGGCTGAAGGTGTAACCCTGTGACAACCGCTGAGTCGCCTGGTCGTTGGCCTAGAAAGCGTCTGAGTGACCTGTGAGTACCACTGAGTCACATCCTCCAAGCACAAGCCCTTTGCCCAATGTACTGCACAGTCACCAGGTACATGAGGCAACCCACAAGCTCTGGATATGGACCACTCGGCTCTACGGACTCGTCTGGAGCTGAGAACGAGTGGCCTATAGGCAGAGGAATGGGACGTGGCAAGGACCAAGTGAAGCCGAAGCGCTGAAGAGCCTGGTGCACGGGTGATGGTGCGCTGTGCTCTGTCCCGAGTGTTCTGCAGCTCACCCAAGTCAGTGCAAAGTGTGGCTCTTCTGCGGCTCCACCTTCACAATGGCCAGTGCCTTAGTGTCAGCAGTAGCAAAAACCAAGTCGTTGACGTACACGAGTATGTACAACGACGGCAGCGAAGGGTCAGTGGGCAGAAAAAGCGATGGGTCAGCAGTCGAAGGAGCAAACCCAAGAGCCGAAAGTGTAGTCCTCAGTGTGTCGTGCCACTCGCGAGGCGCCTAGCGGAGACCGTAGACTGGCCGCTAGACGCTCCACTGGGTACCCTTAGGAAACAACCCATTGAAGCCAGGTGAGCGGCGTAACGAGATCTCCTTGTGTAGGCTGCCCTGCAAGAAAGTTGTGCTGAAGTCAAGCGCTGTGCTGCAACGTGCACTAACACCTGAAGAGTGGTTATGTTCGGGGTGGTGGAGAAGGTTCGGAAGAAGTCGCCCCCCTATCGCTTACTGGAGCCTCGTGTAACGTAACGCGCCTTGAAGACAGGCGGAGAACCAGGCGGCCGCTTCACCCTGAGAATCCACATGCCATCGACTATGTTTGCCCCAGGTGGGGGAACTGCGTCGACGTAAGTGCCTGTGGACTTCCAGGATGCCATCTCTGCATCCATGGCTGTCTGCCACTGAGAGGAGTAAGGACCCGTGATCGCCTCTGCGGAAGAGCGCGGGGTCAGGATGTCTAGTGCATTCGGGTCTCCCTCAGGGGCAAGCAGCATGGCAGCGAGATGAGGTACAGCAGTCGCAAGACACTATAGCTCAAACTGTCTGTCCTTGAGGACGTACGTGCCGAGGGCACACTCACCCCCATGGACGGAGGACAGTCAGATTTAGACTCAGTGATAAGACTCGCGATATAGTCGAGACGACACGCAGCAGCAAAGTCAAGAAGCTCAGAGCGTGGAACATCCTTTTGAACAAGGCGTTGGCCGCCCAACTGCGACAGTAACCACTATTACGACCATCGCCATTGACCTACAAAGCAGACTAACGAAGACTGAAAGGTGCTCGTTGGTCGCCCCACCTTTTCGACCTCGCGCATAGGACAAGAAGTGGCGAGGTCAGGAGAAACACGCGACAAGCATCCAGGTGTTGTCGTGAGTGACGTGCTGCAACCCAATTTGTAGCACGGTGTTTGACGAAGTCGGCACTTTTCGTGTACTATCGCGACTCCGTACTTCTGGATGACCAAGTGTTTCCGATTTGCAGTGTAGGGTTTTGTGTATTACCTGGCAAAAATTGTCGCAAACAATTGACGAGAGAAATGTTCGGCCAAAGAGCCAACCAAACAGTTGTTCATAAGGATGCTCCGTGCTCTCAGTGATCAAGGCAGACGTAGCAGCAGACTCAAAAGTAGGGTCAGTGACAAGAGTGGCAAGAACGCGCGTGACAATGGGACTAGCGGCACGAGCATAGTCAGACTCAGGGCAGGAATGGCAAGAAGTGAGGGCGGAGGTGGAGACGGCAGGGGGACACACTGTGGAACAGAGGAAGGACGAAGTGCCATAGTGTGAGTGCCGGGGACAGGAGGAGGACGCGGACGAGCAGCACGACGACCAGTGTGAACAGCGCAAATAGGCGAGGCAGGGTGAGATACGGGCTCACGACGCTCTGTTAGAGAGTCTGTCTACTCAGTGTAAGGAGAAGGAGCAGGCAGTGGGGAGTCTGATTGTAACTGTGGCTGCGACTGGTCAGGCGGCGGACACAGTAAGGGAGGAGTAAGGCCAGTAGAAGACGGGAGACTAAGAACCTGGCGAAGTGCTGAGCCAGGTGGTGGCAGAGACGACGGTGGCGGCGGAACGAAAAACGGTCGCAGCTGTGCAGGACCCCCTACACCAGCACCTCCAGTGCCTCCAGCACCAGTACCTACAGCTCCAACGTCTCCAGCGCAAATACCTATAGCTCCAGTAGCTCTAGAACCTCCAGCTCTAGTGCCTCCAGCACTAGTACCTAGCGCCTCCAGCACCAGCACATCCAAGACCAGCACCTCCAACACCAGCGCCTCTAGCACCAGCGCCTCCAGTAGCTCCAGAACCTCCACCTCGAGTACCTCCAGCACCAGTACCTCCAGCTCCAGCGCCTCCAGCACCAGCACCTCCAATACTAGTACCTCTAGCACTAGCGCCTCCAGCACCAGTGTCTCCAGTAGCTCCAGAACCTCCTTCTCGAGTACCTCCAACACCAGTACCTCCAGCTTCAGCGTCTGTAGCACCAGCACCTCTAGCACTAGTGTCACCAGCACCAGCGCCTCCAGCACCAGCACCTCCATTAGCTCCAAAACCTCCAGCTCCAGCGCCTCAAGCACGAGTACCACCAAAACCAGCACCTCTAGTACCAGTATGCGAGTGGCACCGCCGAAGGTACCACTCACGAAGCTGCTGTGGGGAGAGAGTCTTCTGCCGATGAGACTGCTGCTGCTATCCGTCTTTAGAGCCAGAAGAAGTGGTACGAACGACCCCACGGCCACTTGAACGCTTAGGACCCCTAGAACCAGCACCCCCAGACTCAGCACCCCCAGAATGAGCAGCACCAAAGGAGTCGCCTGCAGCATCCACACCCCCAGGGTCACCAGCCGCAGCAGCACCAGGGTCGATCGCGACAGGCTGCAAAGGCGGCAAAGACGGTCGAGGCGGGAAACCCGGAGGGGTCTCCAAGCGAGGTGAACAGTGAGTGGTCACTATGTCGTCAGCAGCAACGTCACCCCCCTCAGCTAGGCGAGAGGTGTCAGAGGTGACCTCCAAAGGCTCAACCAAGGGGGGTGGGTCCACCTGAGACACACCTGAGGGAGCAAGACCGTGAGCGGGGAGGGGGTCTACCGGGGGAGGACCTGGAGCGAGGAAGAGCGGCGGGAGGGGGGGGGGGGGGGGGGAGAGGGGAGGTGTGGTAAGGAAAGAGACGGTAGAAGGAAACCGACTCGTCTAATGTGACGTCCTTGTCAAACTTATATGCTTTAGTCTGTGTAGGTTGTAGTGGGGTAGACAATATGGGGTACAACACTTTTAGGTTTTCCTACTTGTACCCACCTGTTTCCTAGTGAATTCATTTCTCATTTCTTCACATGGTATAGAGCAGGTTCCCTAGTGGGAACGTTTCCTAGGGCCCACCACTGAAAATCGATTTTTTTTTCCTGCCCGGAGCGCGCTTCCCTCCTGCCCGAGTCGCGCCCTGTGTGCCCTCCCTCCCGTCACATCCCTAGCCCTTAGCGGCCCGTCGCGCCCTCCTCAGGCCCCTCGTGGCCCCTTTCGCGGCCCCTTACGGCCCTCGCGCCGCCCTTCGCGGCCCCTTACGGCCCTCGCGCCGCCCTTCGCGGCCCCTTACGGCCCACGCGCCGCCCTTTGCGGCCCCTTATGGCCCCTCGCGCCGCCCTTCGCGGCCCCTAACGGCCCTCGCGCCGCCCTTCGCGGCCCCTTACGGCCCCTCGCGCCGCCCTTCGCGGCCCCTCGCGGCCCCTTCGCGGCCCGTCGCCGCCCTTCAAGGCCCCTCACGGCCCCTCCGCGGCCCTGTCGCTGCCCTTCACGGCCCCGTCGCCGCCCTTCGCCGCCTCTCGCGGCCCCGTCTCGGTCCCTTCGCCACCCTTCACGGCCCCGTATCCGCCCTTCGCGGCCCGCCGTCGCCGCCCCTGCAGCAGCAGCCACCGCCGCCCCTGCAGCGGAAGCCGCCATCGCCGGAGCCGCCGACAGCAGCGGCCGCCACCGTCACTCCCGGGGCAGCAGCCACCGCAGGCGCCACAAGCAGCAGCCGCCGCCTCCTCGATCAAGGCCGCAGCCACCGCTGCCGCTGACTGCAGCCGACGGTGCGCCTTGGCCCTGCCGGCGCGCCTCGGCCCGTCCCTGCCAGCGGGCCTCGGCCCGCCCCTACCGGTGCGCCTCGGCCCTACCTGCGCGCCTCGGCCCGTCCCTGCCGGTGCACCTCGGCCCTGCCCCACCACTTACAGCTCTCTGCCCTGGTAAGAGTATCGCTGCATTGCGCTGCCACTGCTGCCACTGCTGCTCCTGTTGCCACTGCTGCTACTGCTGTCATGGCTACCCCTAGCGTCCTCGTCTTTGATACTGAGGGTCGGGCAGTTGACTTTGAGGTCTGGGTCGATGATCTGCAGCTTTTCCTACAGTGCGATAGGAAAGACAGTCTCTCACTGTTCGATCTCACGTCTGGTGCCTCTCCTACCCCTGCTGCCGATGCTGACAGCACTGTTCGCTCACAGTGGGCCACACGCGATGCTGCTGCCCGTCTTGCTGTGCGTAGTCACTTGCCGTCCACTGAGTGCGCGCACTTTAGTTAGTACAAGAGTGCTAAGACCTTGTACGACGCTGTCATTGCACGCTACTCTTCCCCTGTCACTGCTGCTCTTAGCCGCCTCATGCTGCCGTACCTGTTCCCTGACCTAGCCGCCTTTCCCACAGTCGCTGACCTCATTACGCACCTTCGCACTAGTGACACGCGCTACCGCGCTGCGCTTCCTGCTGAGTTCTGCGCCAAGAACCCCCCCCCCCCATGTACATCACCCTCTACTACATAGTCACCCGGCTCCCTGACTCTCTTCGTCCAGTCAGGGACCACTTCCTCTCTGTTCGCCCCACCACACTCACCGTTGACCTCCTCGAGGAGCGCCTCCTGGCAGCTGAGAAGAGTATAGTCGCTGTAGGAGCCTCTCATGGTGACCCTCGTGCCCCCTTCTTTGAGGGGTGCTCCCCCTCCCCCATTTGCCCTCTGTTGCCTCTGCTACTGCAGTCGACTTCGTTGGCACCGAGTCGGTCGGCGCTGCGTCTGCCCCTAGCGGGAGACGCCGCACCGGCAAGGGCAAGGGGGGCAAGGGCGCTGGAGGGGCTGGCGGAGGTGGTGGAGGTGGCGGTGGAGGCGGCGGAGGGAGTGGGGGCGCCGGTGGGAGTGGTAGCGGGGGTGGGGGCTTCGGTGGCGGCGGTGGAGGCGGAGGCGGCGGCGGTGGTGGCGGTGGGAGCGGAGGAGGTGGCGGTGGCAGCGGTGGTGGAGGTGGCGGTGGCGGAGGTGGAGCTGGTCGGGGTGGCTCTGCGCAGCGGGGCGGCTTCGGTGGTGGTTAGCGTGTTAAGATAAGAACTAAGGCTAAGAAGCCATAGCTAGGTTTTAGGGTATATGAAAGAGAAATAGGAGAAGAAATGATTGAACTAGAAAGGAGAGGGATACATGTAGCAAGCCCAAAAAGGGTTATACTCACTTTTGAGTACCCCACTACAGACTAAACAAGCATTATAATCTGACACACCCCCATAGTCAAAGTGGGGTATAATCAGTACAGCATGCAGGCATAGAGCAAGAGTTCACAATGATAAGTCAAACTAGAGGCTATCACAGAGGGCAAGTGAGGAGGAGGAGAGACTGTGGAGGGAGAGAAGATGCGAGGCAACGACTGAAGTTGCAGAGGCACGGGCACAGGAGCGGCTGACTCATTGGCTACCAAAGCAAGGGCGACAGACTACTGGAGTAACTGGCTCCGCGGCTATAGACAAGCGGCAGGAGCAACGGACCCACTAGCGACTGGTGCAACAGGCTCACTGGCTACCGAAGCAAGGGCGACGGACTACAGGCGCTGCAGGCGATACGACAGCTACCTTCACACAACCTCCCCCAGCTGCCCCACTCCCCTCTCACACACCCCCTGTTCAAACCCTAGCTCCACTCCCACAGCACCCCCCTTAAACCCTAAACCCTAGGCTCCCACACACCCATCCCCCTGAGCGACAGCTGCAGCAGTGGGAGACGAGGGAGGAGGAGGAGCAAGGGGAGGAACACATAACCGCCACCCCCACACCCGCCACCCCCATGCTCGGCACCCCACACCCCCAGCACCACGGAATGCACCGGGGGGGAGGGGGGGACGGGACGGGCTGCAGGTGCAGGCTGCTCCAGGGGCGGCCGCTGCAGGTGCGGGCTGCTCCAGGGGCGGCTGCTGCAGGTGCGGGCAGCTCCAGGGGCGGCTGCTGCAAGTGCGGGCTGCTCCAGGGGCGGCTGCTGCAGTTGCGGGCTGCTCGGGGGGGGGGGGCTGCTGCAGATGAAAGGTAGGAGGGAGGGGAGGGGAAGGGCGCGGCCACCAGGGCGCCCCGACGGGCAACGAGCTAGGGAGCCGCGCGGGCCCCCGAGAGCGCCTCGACGGGCGACGGAAGGGGACCGCGCGCGGGCCCCCAAGGCGCCGCGACGAGGCGACGGTTGGGGCCGGCGCGCGGCCCCCAAGGCACTGCGACGAGGCGACGGGAGGGGCCGGCTCGCGGGCACCCAAAGCGCCGCGACGAGGCGACGGGAGAGGCCAGCGTGCGGGCCCCCAAAACGCCGCGACGAGGCGACGGTTGGGGCCGGCGCGCGGGCCCCCAAGGCGCCGCGACATGGTGACGGGAAGGGCCGACGTGCGAGCCCGCAGGGCACCGCACGAAGGAGGAACCCGCCGCGCGCCTCGGGGCGCACGGCGGGCAGAAAACCGCCACGCGCCCGGAGCGCGTGGCGGGAAGAAAAATAGGAGGTCGCGCGCCACAAGGCGCACGACACACAGTAGGGCAGCGGAAGCAGGTGGGCCCACAGGCCAGGAGCGTATCGCTCTGATAGCATGTTAAGATAAGAGCTAAGGCTAAGAAGCCATAGCTAGGTTTTAGGGTGTATGAAAGAGAAGTAGGAGAAGAAGTGATTGAACTAGAAAGGAGAGGGATACATGTAGCAAGCCCAAAAAGGGTTATACTCACTTTTGAGTACCCCACTACAGACTAGACAAGCAATATAATCTGACACAGCGCCAGCACCAGCAGCGCACTCGTGAGACCCCGCCCCCCAAGCAGCTTCGTGAGTGGTACGCTGCGCGTCAGCGGGGCGGGGGTGCTGGTCCTTGTGCCTACGTCCTGCGACCGCACTGGTGAGCCGTGCGGTGGCCCGCACACCACCCAGCGCTGCTTCGGCCACCTGACGGACGCTTGGCGTCTCCAGTTCCCTGACGCCACGGAGATCCCCCGCTAGAGAGAGCTGCTTAGGTCGGGGGTTGCTATCTTTGATCAGGATTATGATGCTATTCTTGCTGCCATGTATGTTGTGTCTACTAGTGATGAGGGTGACTGTTACCTGTGTGTTCCGCCTGACCCGGGCATTGAAGCTGCTGCTTTAGGTGCAGGTGAGGCTGCTGCTCTAGGTGCTGGTGAGGCTGCTGCTCTAGGTGCTAGTGAGTCTGCTGCCCCAGGTGCTGGTGAGTGTGCTCTCTCAGGTACCACCTCGGCTCACGCCGTACACACCTTCACCCTTGACTCGGGTGCTTCCCGCTCCTTCTTCCGAGACCGCACCACACTTACGCCGCTTAGTCGGCCAGTTGCGGTCTCCCTGGCGGACCCCTCTGGGGGTCCTGTCCTTGCTCACTTCTCCACAGTCTTACCGTGTCCGGCTGCCCCCTCTGGCACCCTGTCAGGTCTCAGCCTCCCCTCGTTCTCCATGAACTTGGTGAGTGGAGCTGATCTACAGGATGGGGGGGTTGACCAGTTCACTCCTGCGAGTCAGCGAGTGACCCACTGTACGTCTGCTCGGACGGGCTGCCACTTGGCCACGTTTACCCGTCAGCCGGGGTCGAGCCTGTACACACTGACTACTGAGTCTTCTCCGGTTGCTGGGTCTGGTCAGGTGGCTGCGTCGGGTCAGGTGTTTGCTGCAGCGTCCAGGTCTGGTCCTGAGTCTGCTCCCTGCTCGTGTCGTCTGCTGTCCCACCAGACTCTCCGCTGGCACCACCGCCTTGGTCATCCCTCCTTGCCTCGTCTCCGAGGCATGGCCTCCCGTTACCTTGTCTCTGGTCTCCCCCGGTCCCTCCCTCCTCTTCCTCCGGGGCGTGCCCCTACCTGCGTTCCCTGCGTCGAGGGGCGGCAGTGCGCTGCCCCTCACTCCTCTGAGTTTCCTCCGACAGAGGCTCCGCTGCAGACTCTTCACATGAACGTGTGGGGCCCTGCCCGCGTCCATGGCCAGGGTCACGAGCGTTACTTGCTATTGGTGGTTGACGGCTGCTCGCGTTACACCACGGCGATCCCCTTGCGCAGCAAGGGTGACGTCACTGGGGTGTTGATCGACTAGATCCGCGCAGCTCGTCTCCAGCTCCAGGAGAGTTTCGGCTCGGACTTTCCTGTTCTGCGTCTGCACTCTGACAGAGGCGGGGAGTTTTCCTCTGCTCTTCTGGGAGCCTTCTGTCGTGCACACGGCATCCGCCAGACGTTCACGCTTCCGGCCTCCCCACAGCAAAATGGGATTGCTGAGCGCCGCATTGACATGGTCATGGACGTCGCTCGTACGTCCATGATCCATGCGAGTGCTCCCCATTTTCTGTGGCCGTTTGCGGTTCGGTACGCGGCGCATCAGATCAACCTTCAGCCCCAGGTCTCCTTGCCAGAGACCTCCCCCACCTTGCGGTGGACGGGGAAGGTTGGCGATGCGTCTGCGTTTCGTGTCTGGGGATCTAGGGCGTTTGTCCGCGACTTGTCTGCGGACAAGCTGTCCCCCCGTGCTGTTCCCTGCGTCTTCCTTGGCTTCCCCCCTGACGCACCTGGTTGACAGTTTTACCACCCCACCTCGCGCCGTGTTCTGTCCTCCTAGGACGTCACGTTTGACGAGTCGGCTCCTTACTACCGTCTCTTCCCCTACCACACTGCGCCCCTTCCCCCGCCACCACTCTTCCTCGCGCCTGGTCCCCCCCCGGTAGACCCTCTCCCCCCTCAGGGTCCTGCCCCGTCAGGTGTGTCCCAGGTAGACGCAGTCGAGCTTGTCCAGGTAGCTGTTGACTCTAGTGCTGCTAAGGGTGCGGAGCCTGGGGGTGCTGAGTCTGGGGGTGTTGAGCTTGGGGGTGCTGCGCCTGAGGGTGCTGAGCCTGGGGGTGCTGAGCTTGGGGGTGCTGAGCCTGGGGGTGCTTGTCAACGGGAGCGTTGTAAGGCCCCGTCCTTGCTTGGGCGGAGCCAACCTTGTGGTCGGATGTGCGGGGGTTGCAGCCGACCTGCAGCAGTGGGCACGGGGTCCACTGCACGGGCACCAAGCTGGAGGGCGCCTGGCTGGAGGGCGCCGAGCAGGAGGACGCCGCCCTGGACGCCTGGTTGGCGTCCCGGGCGCCTGGACGGCGTCTCGGGAAGCGGGACGCCGAGCTGGGCGTGGCCACAACTACCCGGGCGCCTGGTCGACGTCGTGGGCACCTGCACGGCCCTCTGGAAGGCCAGACGCCGACCTAGGCGTCTGGTCCGCGTCCTGGGAGGAGCAGCGCCGCGCTGGATAATTGGTCGGCGTCCTGGGCGTCTGGACACCAACCTGGGGGTTCGGAAGGCGTCCTGGGCGCCTGGACGCCGGACTAGGGACGCCGGGCATGCATGGCCGACTACGGTCTGCGTGAGTCGACCAAGCGTGGTTGCCCAGTCGATCGGGATACCCGGGCGACGTGCGCAAGTGTCGCCAGGGTGGAGTCTGCGAGGCCGTCCTCAGGGGTGGTATCCCGAGGTCGACGTGGCTGGTGGGCACAGTCGCTAGCGTGGAATCTGCCAGGCGTCTGCGTTGTGCACGTGACAGGGAAGTGTGCACCAACCAGCTGCGCGCACCTGCGAAGCAGGTGCACCGTTGTCCTGCGGGTGCAACGCTGTGCAGCCGACTTGCTGCAGCACAAGCACACCGTGGACTTGCAACGTTGGCGAACCGCTACTCTGCAACGCTGGAGCGGTGCGAGCGCTGCTGCGCTGGAGCGCGGTCGACCGTGCTGCGCTGGAGGTCGACCAGCAGCCTAGCTAGCACTGATGTAGTCTGTGATGCCAATATTGTTATCATCATTGCTGTCATGTTTTTCCTAGTGAAACTCTTGCCAATTTTCCCCGTGAACTAGCAAGAAGCGTGAACACAAGGAAACGACTAAGTGAACGAACGCAGAGATCACACAAGCACACGTGCCTAGCCCGTAGTCTAGCTTCCGTTGCAGCAGTTATCTCCGCATGGTGGGGTGAGCGTGGACGACACCGCGACGTAGTTCAGTCTAGCCGACTTAGCACATACTGATCGTGCTCGTAGATCGGCAGCCATGCAGTCACTAGTGTGCGCGTAGGCG